ATCACCGAACAGCAGTGAATTTCACAGATCAACCAGAAAATTTCCTGGAGTCATCTGGGGAAGGAGCTGGGCAACATTGTGTTGCATTTTGCCGGGATGGACTCTGGGCTGATAATGATTGCTCAATCAAGAAGACGTTTATCTGTGAGAAAGAGCATACATGACCAATAGTTATCAGCTGGAATATGCAACATCTTCGACTTATTTTAATGTCATTCGGAAACGTAGCTTTTCATGGCAGGACTGAAATCCAATTTTATCTTAATGTTTAATTTATGTTGGTGACTATATTGTTTCAAGTTAATAGTTTTTAAACCATCAGTTTGCAAATAAAATACTTGGCTGAATCTTAAAATGAAGTAAAAACAAAAGTACTTAACTCTTTGCCCCTTGTGCTTACAGTGAGTTAATAATATCAGTACATTTATTACTTTTTGATGACGTTATCCTTTTCCCCACAGCACAGTTTCGATTATGTGCGAAAAAAAAGTGTTTTTGAAGATGAATAATTATACATTTACGTTGCAAATGTTGCCGTACATGTCGCTCTAGTGTTTATGGAATCGTCATCTGTAAAAAGAATTTAAGTATTTTAATGATGATTTAATCCTCTTTATTTTGTGTAAATAATTCTTTAATGTGACGTTTTACAAACCTAATTAATTATCTTATAGCATAGCTTTATTATAAACTTTAAATCTGTATGTATATTTATGTCATGGAGACAAGTTTACGAACCAAATTTTCATTAAAGAAATGAAAACATAGAAAGGTTATTTCTTTAGATTTAGAGAATATAATATTTTGGTATAAATTGATAAGCATTGTATGGATTTATTAATGGCGACTAAAGTATGATGGAAAGTTATCAATGCTGTTGATATTTAAGACAGGCGATATCACGTTTTATTTCCCCTTCCAATTCTTATTTCATCTTATTTTCATTACTTTACCGTTCTAGAATAAATTTAAAATCACTTTATTTCAATATTGGTTTTCAGCCAAACATTTCACTTCTAGTTGTAACCATTGAAATAATCAATAAGTTTCTTATCATCTCAAAAAATTTGTGTTGATCCAATAATAATCTCATAGTGCAACCTCAATTGATTTTACATTGCATATACCAAAATATATTATGCACATTACTTCAAACCATGCAATATAGACTGTACTCAAGTAATCCTAAGATCCTTAACATTTTTAACGTATTTTACGAACAACTTACACAGAAGTTTCATAACATTTGTTATATTTTATTGAGACGAATCCAAAGAACCAGGTCTAGAACCACTGGTGTTGAATACAGCGGAAAATAAATATACATTGTAACAAGGTTCCTTTTAGCCTTGATATCAAAAGTACCGAACAGGGTAGCCTAATGATAGAGCGTTTGCTTCGTGAACGGGAGGCCCGGGTTCGATTCTCCTTCGCAGCGCCGCGTCAAACCCAAGACGTAAACAAAGGCAGTGACTGTTCCTTCGCCAAGCGCTCGGCAATAGAAGTGAAAGTCACGAGTCTTTCGAATATGACCTTAAAAATAGGTCCTGCGTCATGGTACGCGCTGGCACGATAAAGAACCCTCGCTGCTCAATGGCCCTGAGTGCCGAGTATAGGTCTAAATTTGAAGCCCTTCATCGGCATACGGAGACGTGTCCATATACCGGTAAGTGAAAAATTTTCAAGAAGGACGTTAAACAATATACAACCAATCAATCAATCAATGAAATCAAAAATTTATTTAAACTATGCCTTAAATCTCCTCAAATTATTTTGCTTAAAGATCTGTAATTGTAAGAAGCTATACAAATTTTCCTATGTCGTAACAAATCAGTAATTAAAGATTAGATTACTCTCGAAAATAATTTTGATTTTTAGAAATATAAATTGAAAACAACCCCTAGCTGCATTAGAAAATACAAAATAACGTTTTAATTGTATATATTGCTATAGCACGGAGAGGAACAGGAAATACCCGCGGTATTTATTTAATGCAAATGCAAATGTAACTTTGCAAAAAAAAGTATTCCAAAGAACACTAGTAATTTATACAAATGCATTCAATTTTCATTTCTAAAACTTATTATAAATAAAGATTTGATGACCCTTCAAAAACATTAAAAATTGGTCTAATTAAACTCTTGCAAGTATTACTAATGAAATAAGGAGAACCTAATGGACCCAATTTCAATTTCGATGATGTATTGATGCACGATCATGCAAACGGAGAGGATGACCAATTAAGTTTTCAAAAAAAAAACTATATAATATTGGAGCCTTTAAATAAATTTTTCATAAACCTAAAAGGTAAAAATGGAGTTCTGATGTACTTGTATACTGTACTTTTAAATACAAACATAATTAATTAGGGTATAAAACATTAGTGTGTGTGTGCATTATGATTAATGAATTAGAAGATGGACTATTTTCATTAAAAAGTTTTGTTGAGGAATTATTATGAAATCAATGAAACATTGCGTATTATTGCATTTGGCTAGCATTATGTATCACTGCTATACATTTCAATCTCGAATTATTAACGTCAACATTTTCTATTTGCTGATACAAATTTTTCCATTGGCCTGTTAAAATACATTCTGTTTTGGACATGTTTAGTTTCATACCAGATACTTTACTGAATTTTTCTATAACCTATAAAGAATGTTTGAGGGACTTCTTATCTTTTAATGGAAGTGTGCAGTCATCTGCATGTTGTATAATCTTTATAATATCAGTCATTCCAGGTTTTTGAAAACCCTTAATGTTAGGATTTGATCTAATAGCAATGGCTAATACTTCTACTACGAATAGAAATAAAATAGCAGAAATAGGACATCCTTGTCTTATACCTCTATGCATATCATGTTTTAGATATCCAACCATTATTTTTTATTCTAAATACAGGCTTATCATATAAAATGGTGATCCAAATCAAGAAATTTTCTCCAAAATTATATTTTTTTAAGAACATAAAATTCTACAGAGTCAAAAGCCTTTTAGAAATCTAGAAATAACAATATTGAATCCAAGTTATTTTCTTCACAATAATGTGGCAAACTATTAATGATTAAAAGAAATAATTTTCTACAACAAACTGATGAATTCGTTAGTTTGATTTTTTAACAATTTTGTTGAATTAGTTATAATGAAATCAGTAATTTGTTGTAACAGAAAAAAATCAGCTTTAACAAATTCTAAATTTATACTAACAGATTAAATTCGTTAAAATTCGATAAAATTCAAAGTATAATACTTTGCCCTTCGGGCTCAGTGAATATTGTATTTCTTCGAAGGCTTAATCATGGTATTGACCTAATAAAAACAATAATTTTATATTAGTTGACTGGTCGATCTTGTTTAATTGCTGTGACTTTGGATTGGAGCGACTGATATGGACGAGGAAGACGTTTTTAGTTTGAATCTCCGTACCAATGTCACATCTATAAGATGGAGTCCTCTGCAGAGCAGATATTCATCCAATTATTCCCTCGAAATTTATTTTAATGTGCTTAAATCGATAGAAGAAGGGTATATATTTTCTTTGTCGTGTCTGTTTGTCTGTGTGTTTCCCTGTATGTATGTCTGTCAACTTTAACCTTCGCTATAACTTTTCAATCATGTGAGAAACTTATTATTTGGTATGCATACTCCACTTATTAAATTCTTTCAAATGACATCACGTTGATTGACCTTGTGATCTTCACTAAAAGCTTTTCAGAACTTTGTTGCCACTGAGTTCATAGATAGGGTTTTACAAGCACATCTCGATTTTGTTCTTTGTTTATTTTTTTATATTTATCGATCTTATTTAACTTATTAGCATTTATGTTTAATTATCTTTTTATCGTAAAGACATACATGAATATTGTATCTTTCAAAAGAATCATATGGCTTTGTATCAGAATTCTTATTTGTATTTCAAGAGTTACTAAAAAAATATTAGAATCTCGTCTTTTTTTCTGTTATCGTGTGTTAAGCTTTGTCATAACTTGACTTATAATTGACTTATATGGGGTGATTTTGAAATAACATCTAACATAAGCTAATGTGTTTTAAAAATATTCTTGAATCGTTAAACGTCTTAGACAATACTTTTCAATACTTTAAATCTAGTTTGTTTAGTAAAAAAATAATTTTGAAAAATTGACAGATTCCGTTGAGAAGTTAAAGATGTTACTGAAGACTTACGCGTAATATGACATTAAGGCTGGAAACAATCAAGGTCTTTATTTAAGACATTTCCCTTTTTTACATGTATATAGCGATTGAAATGAGGATATACAGATTATTAAAATTTTTGACCCAATTTCGTTTCTGCAAAGCAATTTATTTTATCTATTTTTGGCGATATACAATGCACACAGTTGTGCAACACCTACACGACTCGTTGACAAGAAACTCATCGGCCTCTTATAATGTTAACCTATAGGTTAAGAATGGACATTTTATATGAAAATTTTAAACGTGGACTATATTCATTTCATAATCCTTCTAATTTTTATGATGAGCTTAGTATCATAAAATAAAGATTTTATTTAAAAAAAGGATGTATTCTGAAAGGAAAATTAAACAGGGTAACATAATATGAGAAATTTTCTTTACCACATCAGCAAAATTTTACAAAAATTGTCAGATGAGAATCTTAGTAACTATAAAAGCAGTGTTCAGAATTACTAAATCGTGAAATGTATGACGTCACGTCGGAAAAGTGCTAAAAAGCCACAAAAAAAACACGTGCATAACACAAGTTTGTCAACGATCTTTTTGAATCATTTCATGCACTTGAGGTATACACGTAGATTTCTAGTATTTTTAGACAAATGCAATTCTTGCAATCTTGTAACAATTGACGTAAGTTTCATGGAGTCTGGTTTTTACATTGTCTAATTAAGGACCAAAGCAAGAACGGTTTGATTTGCAGTCTTTAGTATATTTTCACCCATAAAACACCTTAACCTTCATCAGAGAGGGTCTTGGATGGTTTTCAATCATCCGTAACGATGGCCAGAGCCACATTAATATCATTTTATTCGTCTTGCCACCTGTTTTCACCACTTTACTACCACAAAGCTGATATAAAAGAGTGGGTTTTCATAATCATTACACTCATCATAAAACTGAAAGAAATTAATCGTACAATTAGGATCTTTGAGCTGGTCAACTTTGCGTTTGGATTCCTCTCACTGGCGCATGTGCGTGCCGTTTGTTCATTTTTTGTGTTTTTACCTCCGATCCATTGTAAGCAATGTTTCCCAATACTTTCTACATGTAGCAAACAATCACATTTATCAACTCAACAGGTTTCCAAAATGTTCATCTTTTTCTCATTGTACATCTATGGGACTTAGTTGGGGATAGGATTCGAAATGCCAAATATAGCCCTTTTCAACAAAGACTTATCGTGTTGAAAAGGTCGAAAAATATTCCTATTTTTATGAAAAAGTCACAGATGAACTCAAGGCAAAGGAGTAAAAAAAATACTGCAATAGATGCGCAAAGAAGACATAATAATAATTAAAATTTTCAATTTTAATTTTGGGGGGGGGGGGGGGTATCGTCATACATGTATAAGTTTCAATGTCTTACGAATAATGAAGAAAAGTCAAATGATATTTTGATTTAATTTTCATGAAAGATTGTTTTAAACGCTAGATAGGAATAATAATAAATACTTTAGGAAAAATAAACCTGTTCCACCTGTAAAGTTTACTCTTCGTTTCTTTTTCCTTACAGTGACTGTATAATAGGTAGACGGACTTTAATTTTATGAACTATAATTATCTTGTTATAACAAATTCAATTTTGTTGTTTGTGCAAAGCACTATACATAATCATTAATTTGTCATTTTTCCTTTGATTGATCAGAAAAGACCAATTGAGTACATCCATACTATGTAATATAATATGAAAGGAAGTGCGACGTTACTACATGTACGTGTATCAAGATTCTAAACTTGGTCCAGGAGTAAAAACATTGGGAATATTGAAATCGATAAGTAAAACAGCTTACAGAGAACCCTCTTGATGTGCAAGGATAGGGACTGAATCCATAAATATTACATGTATACCTGCATTGAGGATTATGTTGGGTTTAAAATGTCAACAGACCTACGGACAAAGCGTAGGTGGTATGACAGTGGTTAGATAGCCAACAGAAAGTGATTTTATATCCCGGACCATTTATACCCAGTGAGCACAAAATATCCTGTTTTTGTTTATTATCAACAGAATTGTAATCGGTATGGACCAATGCACTTTTTACTGAATTGTTAAAGTTTTGTCCAGGGTATTAAAGAAAACAAAGAAACCTCCTCCCTCCCGAAAAAGATTAGTCCCAAGAGCAGTTCAAAAGGAGACGTAAATGAAAGAATGATTCAAAAGAATGTCTTATTCCGGCAAAACATAAACGATCAGGGTGAATTTCAATTGAATAAAACAAAACTTGAAAACAAATGAAAGTCTTTTTTTCAATGGCACACAAAAATGACAACAAGTACATCTTATCTTTGTAATTATTAAAAGAAATCGTTGAGGTTTCATAAATGTAAACAACATAATTAGAACAATGTTCTAAAGTTGTGTTTCCATAGGCCATTGAGAGAATTAATGTTAATGTTTTAACGCTGCATAGGTAGATGTACATAGATGTACTTTTGTGAATGAATGAATGAATATTTTTTCTAAAAGAATGACTATGTCTTAAAGTTAAACTTTATTTATCTCAGTACGACACAGATGTGCACATGACGCTTTAAAGCAATTTTTTTAAATTGTTTTCCAGTTCAGTGGGGATTTAAAATGTACCCTGACCTATTTCTTTCTTACAGTCAAAAATAACGTAATAGCAAACCCGAACAAATATTTAAACGCCGTATTCGGTTATTTTTTGTTATATTGACTTTCAACGTGGAAAAAATTCAAAATCTTTGTAACCATGTACAGGATATTTTTCACATGGATTATATTCCTAAAATCAGTAAGTTTCTTCATAGTTAAAATAAAAAAAAATCAAGGATAAGATTATCTAAAATCTGCAGCGTAATACCTGGCACAGCCCTACACCGGTGGGAGAATCTATGATACACCGCCATTTTAAAATAACATTATCATAAACTGCATTCAAGATTTTGCTCAATAGGAGAGCATTCATTTGAAAGATAAAATTTGTCTACTGTTTCAAGATCTTTCTTGCATCAATCAAAGATGAGATATGTATTTCAAACTGTTGAATAACAGAAATAAAAAAAACAGATCTAGTTTCGGTTTACGGTTCGACAAGATTTAGCCTTTCTTATTAATAATGTACAAAACAGGTACTGTGGGACCAATAATATTCGTTGCATATAAGTGTTAAAAATTTTAGCTTGTTGCTCTTTCCCATAAATTAAAATCCCCAATAACAATTAATTTATTGATTATATATATTATATATATATATATATATATATATATATATATATATATATATATATATATATATATATATATATATATATATATATATATATATATATATATATATATACATGCACATGCACTTTCATTAAATCTTTTACAGTTAAGTTTGTAGACAGGAACTATTTTTATATATATGCAGATTTGAAACTTTTAATTAATTGACAACTCTTTATAAAAACTGGAATGCAGTTAACTCCATATGTGTAAAGCATCAATTAGACATGATCTTCTATATTATTGGTTTTGTGCTAAGAATATACAGTGTATTTCTCTTATTATTTTATTTAATCAACATATTTAGAAATCTAACCAATTTGGATTAAATACAGGTATTTGATAACAAGGATGACAGTTCCATAAAAGGATAGTCAATAAATGATATCTATTTGATTTTTAGAAATATTATCAATGTCTTTGTTTAAAAGGTTTTATCTAAAATCACTGTAGCGGCCTGTTTTTACAGTGTTCACAATTTGCTACATTTAAAACTGTCCTTGATTTTCTTAATTTCCCAAGTTGTACAATAAAATTAAAATAGGGAAAACTTATTGTATCAAAAAGTTTTGAAAGTCTCTTAGAATACAAAAATGATCTTAATCTAGACAGAACATCTAATTTTCTTATTGTCAACATGTTCAGATCATGTAAGAAACTTGTCAATGCAAATACTGTTTAATTTAATTTAATTTTTACAGATGTCCACGGTACGATCTAAAGGAACTGTTTTTCCAGTTAACAGTTGTCCGGGGAACATTTCTGAAGTTGACCATGCTTCCAAAAGACTAAATTGCTCTGGAATTGACAAGTTAAAAAACACATATCATTGTTTACCATTGGCTGACCTGTCTCAACTTGTTGAATTGTGCTATCAAACAAGCTATTTAATTGAAAAGGGTACGATAAATTTGATTTGATGCTTAGTCTGAAAAACCTGGGTCACCCGCGTGGCAAAGTAGTTAGAGCGTCTGTTCTAGAATCGCAGAGTAAGAAGTTGGTCCTTATGTCGCAGGTTCGCATCCCATTGTTAAATGACCCTAAGTGCCGAGTATAGGACAAAGTTCGCAGCTCTCCAGCTGCCAGTGGTGACGTCTCCATATGAGTAAAAAATTCTCGAGAGGGACGTTAAATATTATACAATCAATCAATCTGACAAACATGGCACTATCACATGCTTGTTTTATTTTCAGCCAAAAAATTGTTTATCTTTTTTTTTGTAAAGAAAAATATGTAGCATTCAAGTGTCATGTTTATAAATTTTAACAAATCAAATGTTTTTGTTTAAACATCCCTTAGTTTCATTTTATTAATTTCCGTGTAGAATTCATCAACATGTTTATTAACAGGAAATTGTATGGTCCTTCAATCCGGATATTTAAACAACCGATCATGTCTGCATTTTACTGAAGGCTGTCCCAAGACGCCTTACCAATCCAAACTGATGCTGAATTGTAAGTATCTTGTGCGGACTTGTAAATTTGCAGATTTCGCCATGTATACCAGTGAAATGAGACTTAAGGTAAGGTTTGCGTCTCCCTCCAACTTTTATTTTTTTTAATATGCACACATGCTATATATCAATTTATTCAAGGAGATAAGCTTCATCATTTAATATGATTTTCAAAGATATTGCCCGTCCCATTTTTTTAGTAAAAGACGCCAAATTTAACGTATTTCATATTCCACCTCGAATATTATTTTCATTGAAAAAATTGATTTATTTTATAAATTATCAAACTTTTTAAACTAAAATGACCTGAATAAGTATAATTCATGCTTCTATTATTTAAACTTTTAATTTTCCGTTATAAAAAATGTGAAAATTTGGGTAAAAAAAGAAGATTTTTCAATGTTTTTTTGATTAAGTGAAACCCTTGCCATGGCAACAAAAATATAAAAATCAACGTTTTACATATCTACCGATTCCACCAAAATCCATGGAGTTATTAATTTGATTATTTTCATTAATTTGAACTAAAAAAATAAGCATGTCCCCAATATTATTTCGAAACAGGGGCTCTATTATGGGTTCGGAACATGAAATTCAGGCTTTTTCTACGCTTTTAAAGACAACATTTATATCACCTTGTCATGGTGAACGTAAAAGACTAATTGTTATTTTTGATATTGTTTTTAGGCATAAATTGCCAAAAATATTCAAAATAAAACTCTTCCAGTGCTACAAGATAGTCAAATTTATTCCATGGAAGAACTCTAGTATTTATGGCAATCTTTACATCTGAATATTCTGATGAAATTGTCAATGAATTACACTGCAACACCTTTAGAATTACATGTATATGTATATAAACATACTTCAGAACATGTTGCAACTAAACCAATTAAAAGCCTATGAATTTGACATGCTGATTTAGTTATTCCAACATGTAGTAATTTCTAGACACCTTTGTAGCAAAATATCTTTATTCAGTTATGGCTGGTGACTGTCATAGTACATGTTTGCCATTTTTTGAGTTAAATGTTGTAAGCATTGCATCCAGGAAGCTGCTGTTTTTATAATTAAATGATTTCTTTACTTGGAAAAGTAGAAATGCTATCTTTAATGTTTGTTTGCCTTGTCTTGACTCAGGGTAAAATTGTTGGGTCGGTAGTTGAGAAAATCTTCAACAACATTTTTTTAGGGGGGATAAGAGGAATAAAAAGAAAAAAAATACCGCCCTGCATTGAAAAAAAAAGTTTTCAGTCTGGTCATTTTAGTCAGTAGTCAATGCTTTAGTCATAATTTTCAGTAAAAAAAGAAAAGTTAAATAATTACCTGATGAAAATACTATCAACAATCAAACTGTCAACATCATCATTGGACATGGTCAAATTCATCGTGCCTTTTCTTCCCTGTTCGGACTGCAAAATACTTTACAGGATACTCTCAGGTCTTTTCTTTTTTCTGTCCAATTCTCACTTAAAATTTTAGTGTTGTGGTGAAGCGAGAAACACACATCAGCACAATGCGTCAATAACTTTCTCCTGATCGGAATAGCCGTGCAACTTGCCTCGTTCCGTATCGAAAATAAACAAGTCCTCCTTTATTGGTTCATCCACATGCATCACGCTAATCTAAAAGGCTTTTAAAATTCCTATGCTTTGAATTGTTATAAGACTTTCTCCTGAAAATGTCCTTTGTTTTCAGTCCTAACAATAAGTGACAACAAACATCAAGTAGGACAGAGGAAATTCGTTACCGAGATGCTTAGCATAGCTGGTTTAAATTCAACTGTTTCAAACGCTTTGGTGATTCGCAAGAGTTATCTCCCTGTAAGCGCAAACCTTACCTTAAAATGCAAAAGTTCAAAACTATTCATTCAATGTACAGTGTATAATGATAATATGTTTTACGGTGTGACCGTTGGGGCGAGCGCAGTTTATTTACTATCATAAACCTACACATGTACTGTCTATCATTCAAGAAAAAGAAAGCAAAAAGAACAAAACAAAACAACAAAAAGAAATCATTTCCCAAGCATCAGGATCGAAGTTCGAAAATTCTCGGAAGTTTCCGACAAAATCGGAAATACCCGAACCGTTGAAGTGACGAAAGTCTGACGTCAGAATGAGAAAAAAAGTTCTGTTGACTTAGAACGCAAAGGCTAGTTTTATGGAAAAGAGATTGCATTAAATCGTTCTTTTCATGTAAATTGTTGCTATGTTTTAGCCGAGTTTCACGGAAGCAACAGACATAACTTCGTCAAAATTCGTAAGTTTCCGATGACGTCATTTGTATCATTTCCGAAGGGCAAGGTGAAGGCAGGTGTTGTGGCATGGGGGTATTTTTTTTGAATAAGGTAAGGCAAAATCATTTCGTTAAGATTTCGGTAAGAAACAATGTTCCTTTATTTTTTTTCTATTTTTGATTTATTCGCGCAAAGGACATTGGGTAGTGCAGAAATTCTGGGAAGGTTGCACAGAGAAATTTGGCTGACGTATGTACAGATTTCAATCCGAATTTCCTCTGTTCATACACGTTATTCTATTGAGCTCGCTTCGAGAGCGTCGCTTAGCGACGCTCGCTGCGCTCGCTATAATTGTATGTACATGTATAGATTTACCAATTTGATATCACGCGAAATTATCACGCATATTTTTTATTTTACATTTTCATTTATAAATTAAATTAAGTAACTTTAAATCATTTTTACTGTGTAATTCGATAAAAAAAAAAGTGCAAAATTGCCATTGTTTAACTGAAAAACACAATATTTCTTCTGCAAGGGTCATTCTTTTTAGAAACCGGTGTTAAGACGAATACTGACCCCCATCGAATAATGATCCTTTTGAGCGTAGAAAAAGTGTCACTTTCCGAAAAATTTACAGAACCCACGTGAAGAAAAATGACCCCCTGTAGATTAAAGCTACAATTTTTAGGGGGCCAAAAAAATGGATAAAGAAGCATATTGGCCAAAATGCTCACCTGAGCTTATTGGGAATAAACTGATGATATTTTGATCTCATAACATTATACAATTATATACTGAAAGGAAAGAGAAACGCAGGGTAGCATAATTGTCGATAAAAATTTGACCACATGACCGAAAATTACGAAAATTGGTCTGATGCAAAATTTAGTTACTTTGCATCAAAATCAGTATTCAGAATTACTCAACCGTAAAATTTATGACGTCACGTAGGGAAAACGCTAAAAAGCCCAACACACGTGCAATTTGAAAACGACGTGTTTGTCCACAAATCTTGTTGCATTGTTTGATGCATATGAGGTATTGACATCGTTTTTCAATAGTAAGAGACATTATGAATTTATTGCAATCTTGGTACAGTTTACGGAAGTTCAATGGGGTCTTGCTTTCGAATTCCCTAATTAATGAAAAAAGCAACGACGGTTTCCTAATCAGTTTTTTGTAAATTTTTCCCCATAAAACTTTTTAGCCGTTGTCAGAGAGGGTCTAAAGTGGATTTCAATCAACCGTGACGATAACGTTAACGCGAAACAGAGCCATGTCACGAGCGGGTAATTCATCCTGCGATCTCTTAAATCGCCACCTTACTACCACAAAAACAGCCATTTCTAGTGTACACGATTATAATCATTACATTCATACCAAATTTGAAAGAAAACAATTCTGCAATTTCGTTTTTTGAGCCGGCCAACTTACTGTTGTATTCCTCTCACTGGCGCATGTGCGCGCCGTTTTACTTACTATTTTGAGTGGTTACCCATGCTTAATAAAGCCAGGGTTTGAAAAATAAAAACTCTGATGAAATTTCATGCAAAGGAGAAATAAGACTCTGACAGATGCACGAGATGGATATTGAAGATAATGAGAGTTTTCGATTTTCTCTTCTGGGGGGTAACGTCATTAGAGCTTCAATAACTCATGAATCATATGAGAATTTGGTTATATCTTTTTGAAAGATGATTTTTAAAGTTAGATAGGAGAACTAAATATTTTTTTTTAAGAAAAACAAATTTAATTCACCTCAAAAGTTTACCCTGCGTTTCTTTTTCCTTTCAGTATAGTTATATTTTAAGGTAAATGCAGTGATTCAGAATCTAAAGGAGTAAGAGATTTATCAAGCCTTAAGGGTTAGGTAAACATTGTTTTTTGATGGTGGAAATCATCGAACTGATAGAAAAAATCAGCAGTATTGTATTTATTATATCCTCCGCCTGCAAAGCGGGAGGTTAAATAGTGATTGGGATGTCCGTCCGTCCGTCCGTCCGTCTGTTACGCTTTGAGGTATCCATCTCTTATCCGCAAATCCTCATATCTAAAAAGGTGTGTTTGTGAAACAGACACGTGCCCCTGTATGGCAACATGGCAAAGATTTTACTTTTCTTAAATGCAATTTAAATATATTTTTACCCAAATAGGGTCTTCTCACAAGAAATACAACTACAAAATAGGAAAGCCCTATCATCACTTGTTTAAAATTAATGGCTAAGGATAAGTTTGATTTTCAAGAAAATTTTTCCTGTAACAATTACAAATGTGAAGTATGAATACCCTAGCCCTTACTGTTCAAAAGCTATAGCCAAGTTAAAAAAAACTATAAGTGCGGAAAACTTCAAGGTCAAGATCAAAAGGTCGAGGTTTTTAGTATCCAATGAAAGGTAATGCCAAAAAACTACATATTTGAAGTATGAGAATACTAGTATCTATCGTTTAAAAGTTATGACCAAAGTAAAAAATTGGCATGTTTGTGTAAATGGGACAAACTCTAAGGTAAAGGTCAAATGGTCAAATATTTTGGTACCCAAAGTAAGGTTTTGTCACAAGGAATATACATATTGAATATGAAAGTCAGCTCCAATAATTGAAAAGTTTTGGTAAAGGTTAAGGTTTTTGCAGACAAACAAACCGCCAGATAGACAGACGGACATACAGACACACAGGATAAAACTATATACCCCTTCGATTACGGGGACATAAAAAGAAATTGTCTTCAATTAAATCTTCATATTGATATAAATTATAAAGAAGACGTTACAAAAATGAAAATGTTTGTTCTGATTTTCATATCAAACTCTCTGAAAAATATACTCAGAACTTAGTAAAAGGGTGGAGTAAAACAAGAATTGAGGTAGAACCTATGTCGAAAAAGACTTTGTCACAAGATTTTCTAATTTTTCAAAATAGTAAATTAGTTCTTGCTTATCAATCAGTTATGATATCATGAATTTTAATCTAGAACAGGCTGTGAAACTTGGTATGATATTTACATACTGCAACTTCACATTTTCAAATATTGTTAGGGGTACTTGTCATAAAGGGAATATAAAAAATCACAAAAATACTTCTTCAAACATCGTTGTTTATGAACTTTTTTAACTGAATAATACATGTATATTAAACAATATTTTATCATGAATAATTTCTTTTTTATTCAATTACCATAAAAGATTAAGTCCACCATTAAAAAAATAGTCAAATGAACTCTATTTTTTTAGTCAATTACTCATCCTATATTTGTAAATATTTTTTACACGTCTTTTTCACAATGGTTTCAATCTTTAATATGATGAAGAACATAGCCAAATGATTACAAACAGTGATTAAAATATATGCTTTCCCCCTCTAACTAATGAAAGATAGGCTATTTACCAACACTCATATTCTTGACCTTTTTCACTTACACGGGATTTGATAATTAAATGACTGTTTGGGGTTACTTTTAGATTGAATATTTATCAGAAATTGCACTTTTTCTTTAAAACGATCATATTTAGGCCCTAACAGAAAAATTGTAATCAAACACCAAGAATTTGAATAGGTAACCAATTTTTAAAAAGAACGCACATCATTTCATTATAAATATCACAAAAATGTACACACGATCAAACGATCTACAACACGTACATCTTTGACTTAGACACATTTCATCAAGATATTACACTATATACATGTAGCAGGTAACTAAATATTTCTTACGATTCGGGCATTCCTTCAATTTGGTTACATACATGTTCCATTCAAATTATTACGAAAGTTGTATGTACATTGTAATTACAACTTTCTTTATAATTTGAATGGTATTGTACATTGTACTTTCATTACACTAGATAGCCTTGGGTTTGTCATTTTCAGGTCTAGATCTAGTAAATAAAAGGTGCCTACATTTTTTCTCTTATTTTCTCTTATTTTCTCTTATTCCAGATATATATTACCATTAAGCATTATAAACTAAAATATATATGAATTGAATCAAGATTATATTGGCTTGATTGAAATCTGTAAATTTCTAAATGCAGTATTTTCTAATATTTTTATTGAAGTTGTCAAGTACGGGAAAAAGTGGCACTGGATTAATTATGACGTCTTAATGGGTTAGCACAGGTTTAAAACATTTACAATTTTATATGTCATAGGAAGTAGGTTGTACGTTAAAAGAAATTTAATGAATACTGTGTGCTAAATCAAAAGTATTTGTCTACATTGTATAGTTTTTGCATCAGAATGACTGTGTATTTTACACTAGCCCATAGCATTACAGAGCACATTTTAGGTCATATACTTACCCTACCCCATTTTCTATTTAGGAGGAAGTCGATATTGAACAAAAGCAAAGAAAAAAAACAGCATTCCTTTTTTTCCCATAGGAAGGAAGCTAAAAATACTCTATATACTATTCTACTTATTTTTAACTGTTACTTTGCCACAATACTTTCAAGTATATCTCCACCAACATAAAGTATGTTTTGATCATTGCGAAGTAAATTATGATATGATAATACTTGTGTAAAGGCTTAACTTCATTTCGATATTATATCTAGAGCCTCTTTCAGAATTATTGAAAGGCATAGCGTTTTATTTATATTTTTGCTTTTCATCTATTTTTTTTTTTTTTTTTTTTTGATTTATTGTACATATTTCTTCCTCCTTTATTGTCAAATAGGATTTGCCAAACTTAACAAACTAAAAGTTGAAATGACGGAAAAATTATTTTTTTCCTATTAAAGAGTATTTAAACCTGATTTTTGCTTGGTTTGATATCTAAAAACAAGTGGAATATCATTCTTCAAGCGCCCCGTAGGGATCCGGGTTAGAATAGGTCCTCAGTACCTCTTGCTTGTCGTAAAAGGCGACTAAATGGGGCGGTCCTTCGGATGAGACCGTATAAACCGAGGCCCCTTGTCACAGCAGGTGTAGCACGATAAAGATCCCTCCCTGCTTAAAGGCCCTGATCGAGTGCCGAGCATAGGCCTAAATTTGTGCCGAGCATAGGCCTAAATTTGCAGCCCTTCACCGGCAATGATGACGTCTCCATATCAGTGAAATATTCTGGAGAGGGACGTTAAACAGTATACAATCAATCAATCATTCTTTAAGCAAACATTATAAGGACGAATATTAAAAAAGAAATTTTATTTACTCGACAATTAAAGAATTCCTTTTCAAACAAAATTTTTGCATTGAAAGACTACGTGAGTCTCTTAATTATTTCATACGAATTTTTTTAATTTTTCTGGTTACAAAAAAATGTAAAAATTATTTTTGCTGTAAAAAAGATATCATAGAGTGTATATTTTGTATCACTTTAAAAGGGGTCATTTTTCAATGGGGTCATTATTTTATAGGATTGACATAAAAAATAATGACCCCCTAGGACCCTTTTTCTACAAAAAATGATATTTTTTTTCTACGGGTGGGGTCATTTTTTGTCGTTGAAAAATCCCCCCCCCCGGTCATTATTCGATGGGGGTCATTAGTCGTCTTTACACCTGCACACAGAAAAATAAAACTAAACAATGCGATCGTAAAGAAACATAAGCTGCATTTATGCGAATTTCACTTTGATGCACAGTATAAGATAAGAAATCAAGATTGTGGAGAGGACAATAATGCGTCGATCAAAGCTTCATAATAAAAGTTGAAAAAATAGAAGGTTACAAAGCATGTTTGAATCTGTCATTATAATATTTAAATGCAACATTGCAATTAACTCTTCCGACATCCAATTTGCAGTTCATATTGCTTTAACACAAGCGCCTAATATGAGAATTTTTTTTTTCCAAAAAATCCTCCATTCTGCATTTAACATTAGAAATAAGTACATAATGATGAAAAAAAACTAACATCAATGATATATAAATGCAATCTCATTTTGCTTTTCTAGATCCAGTTTGTACAAAAATTAACAAACAAAACAGATGCTATCTAGCTGACCCTTCCTGTCCCAGTTTACGCAGGTAATTTTACAAATAATTTATGTATTGTAAACAAAACAATTCCTTTCTGTTCTTCAAATCCGACATGACACAAAAAATTACCTTGATTAAAAAGAAATCCTTTTGTAGTGACTTTGAAGTCACGACTGCTCCTCCTACAATCAACGTCAGTCTATTATGGACCACTTCAACCAGTTCGGAGGATTCTGAATTTAGCAAAACCTGGATAGCAGTACCCGTTGTATCAGCTGCACTTGCCGTTATAGTGTTCACTTTATGTTTGATATGGAAACTAAAATGTCGTCGTAAAGCCGATGAGATCAAATCTGGAGGTTAGTTTTCACAAACCTTTTTTTTATTTTTTCTCCCTGCAAAGAGAAAGTAGTTTATACATGTAAAGTATGGGGTAAATATTGAGATGGATTTTAAAATACAAAGTTTTGAATGACATTGAGTGGTAACACTCTTGAAATTTTTTCTATAACATTCAACAGAAAACGGAGTGTTTGATATATCGATATATGGATAATCTTCCTTCTTTAGAAATTGGGATGGATTCAATAGCCAGTCAATATTCAGAAACGGAGGCTTTATTACAGGAGAACGAAAATGAAGACCAGTATGAAGGAGGTTAGTTGTAGAATTCTTAACATAGACACCCAAAAAAGAATTTTATTTAAGTTGTAACTCATCATTTGATTGGGTAAAAGATTCAATCTATTTTGTATAAAATTACTGGCCTACGTCATTGAAATCAAATTATAAGGAATGAAGCTTATTTCAACTTAGTTTTGCAGTTTATTAAGCGTAAACTGTCCTTAGTTATGCTTAAGCTTCAAACAATTTTTTCCAATACATTAAAAAACTTTTTATTTTTTTTCCTTTTTCTTAAACATATATAAAGAAACAAAAATAAAAAGTTTTAGAAAATTCATGGGTCTAGAAACGACTTTATTTACTGCTATACAATAAACAGTAGATCGATCATTGTGTCGACGGATCAAACGGTAAAGAGATACGAGGGTTGATCAAAAGGTTCGTGGTATTTCTTCATATTTCAATTATTATTAAGTGAAACTGCTTCAAAATTTAGATTAAGAGAGAGACACTTGTTCAATAAGTAAAATCAAAAACTGATAATAATATTTATTATAGTAACTCTTTGGTAGTTGTCATAGAAACTGATGTTTTGAAATTTGGGGGAGACATTAACACATTTGTTAACGTGAAATAAGAATAAAACGGCCCTTCGTGGTATATACACTGTATAACAAAAATCATGTCATTATTACAATTGCCTGATATTTTATCAAACTTAATCATGTTTATGTGAGAGTTTAACTAATATAACTGGACATTCAGTTTATCAGTTTATTATTTTTCGTATATCTCAAAGTTGTTAGACAACGTCAAATGTCTGTCAAATCATTATGTTTCCTGAACATAGGGGGGGGGGGGGGTTCACTCTATCTTCAACTTGTATATGATAGACATAGGCAGGGGAAAGTGCATTAAGTTACTGTTTTCTGTGGCAAAAGAAATTTTAGTCTAGTAGAACTTCTATGGACGTTGATTAAAGGTGCGGCCGCGTTTTGGAGGATCTGTTTTAAGTGTTTATCCCTCTATACAAATTAAAAGCGTTAATTGACCTTGCCGTCTGACATACTGTTCTTAATATTGCTACTGAAATTGAGTGAAAAATGAAGATAAGTTGGTGCGCGAGAATACCCAAGATTTTGTTGAGAAAAAATGTAAAAAAAAAGGGCAGCATTTTATATAGAATTACGTATTCGAACAGGACATCAGGTTGAGATGCTTCTGTTTAGTGATGTGACATATTAACGTGATGTTACATCGAAGTCTCTTCCGGGTTTTACAACTGTCCATTTTTGTAAAGCTGGCTTGACATCATTGGTTATTGGAAGGTGGTGAAATTTCCAACTATGATGTTGCATTATCACTATATTATATATCTCAATCTATATTATGAGTAAGCCTTTCGTTTGCTTTCATCAAAAGGCGATAGAATTTTAGATAATTCAAAATTTTACTCTGCAGTCCTCAGCATAAACTCACATGGCCTCAAATTTAGAGTACTGATTTGTATAGTAAGAAAATTGAAACAAAACGATGTTTGACAAGATTAGTACATTGTATATTTACGAGATCCATTTTTATTTTAAAAAGCAGCTATATATGATGTCAAAAAGCTTGGACTCATTTTTTTTCGTGGGGAATTGATGCATTGAATGTTGTATGTTTAGATGTAAAGGAGCTCAGAAAATTTTATGACGCCAAATTTTGTGAAATTATTTTAGAGATTTTAAATTTCAGTTTAACATCTCTACTTTTATTTGTAAAATTTTAAGGAGGCAATAAAATATTATCATTTGAATCCTCAACATAAAAGTATAAAAGAAGAATAGAGGCAATTGATATTGACGTTTGAGTTTCCAGAAAAGAATCCCCCTTAAGAAATAATGAATCATTGATACTTTTATGTACAATTTTATCTCCTTACCAAGTCTGCAAATGCTCTTTATATTTCAAAATCGATTATTTACTTTTTGAGTAAGTTTTGATCAAATTAACAACCATTGCAATAGTTTATGTTGAAGGGGAAAATGAATTTTTTGAGGCATACTAGTAGACATAATTACACCATATATTTTGGTGATGGTTTTTTTTTCAATATTTAAAGGTACAAATCTTATAGAGGATATTCTGAGAAGTTGGCAACAGGACGACAAGTATTTTGTGCCAACAACAGCAAGCAAATTTGTAGAAGAAAAGATTAAAAGTCAAAATCTGGTCACGGTCGTCGGTAATTCTGGTAGCGGAAAAACGGCAATTATCCAACACATCGCGCTTAAGTTACAAAGAGAACAGGGATGGAATATTAAACCTGTCGATGAGGTGAAAGAAATAAAAGAAATATGTTCTCCTGGAATCTCGCCAGATAACCAAACACTGTTTATACTGAATGATCCTATTGGTAAGGAGACCTTAGATGATATATCATATAATTCATGGAAAACTTACGAGACAACATTACAAACTTGCTTGAAAAGAGTTAAATTATTGGTGTCATGTAGAAGATGTGTCATTAATGACAAGAAATTAGAAGGTATTCTCAAAAAGGAGTCTAACATAGTAGAAATTGACAGCGACGAATTAAAACTGACAGATAAAGAAAAAAGGAAGATCTTAAATAAATACTGTCAGCATATGGATATATCTGAAGAGAAAGTTAGGGAAATTATCAAAACAGAAGCTTATTTTCCTTTGCTTTGTAAAGTGTTCTCATGTGAAGTGAGTTGCAGAGAAGGAGTTAACCTCTTTAAAAACCCCTTTCTGTACATACAACAGGAAATCGTACATTACAAAATACATGATAAACATAAATATTGTGCCCTACTTTTGATCATGGCATTCAATAACAATTTAAATATTTGCTCTATAAAGAAAGATGAAATATCATTAGATAAATACAAAGACATTTTAGGGATTTGTGAACTATCGGACAACGTAAACGTTGCTGTCATTGGAAGAACTTTACATGAACTGGATGGATCTTACGTCAAACGTATCGGGCAATGTTACAAATTCCTTCACGACTTTATAATGGAGATAACGACTCTAGTGTTCGGTGTTGATTGTCCACAAGAGACGATACGATACGCGGATAGTGGTTTTCTAAGACGCCGAGTGAAGATAGAGAACGATGAAGATGAGGAAGATCGCGATCTCTTCACCATTTACCTGTCTGAAGAGTACATCGGTGATCTTGTGGATCGGTTTATTATTGACATGCAAACACAACACCTTCTAGATGTTCTACTCAATCCTTGTTTAAGGAAAGAGAGTGTCATCAAATTCTTAAAAGAAAAGGTAGATTCAATTGAAATGATTCTTGTTAGAATCAAGTGTGAAGTAGACAGATCGGAATTTTCAAGCTCATTTAAAGGTGGTGGTTTGTCAAGACTTCATTTCCTTGATTTGAAAGATGAAATTTGCCCTTTGATCGGACTCATTATATTTTTTCATAATGACATTTCTTCATTTTTCTTGAGAAAAATTAATGAAACAACCTGTAACAATTATCCTATATTTTCCGCCGTGTGTGCAAATGGTAATTTGAAGCTATTAGATTCTCTAAACGAGGAATATAAAAAGTCAGCAATATTTGAAATTTGGCATATTTTTTTACCAATTCATGTTGCTTCTGTATTTCATAATTTTTCCATAATTGGGAATTTAGTGCATTTCGGTGCTGACGTGAACAAACTTACAACTGTAGACAAATGGACTCCATTGTTATTAGCTATTGCAAATGACGAAGAACATTTCACAGAGGCGGAAATAGAAACAAAAGAAGGAGAGAGACGTAATGAGACCATTATTTGCTTATTAAACTACGGTGCTAACATCAATTTATGTAGAAACAATGGAACCAGCCCTCTTTATATAGCCTGTCAAAATGGACATGATAGCACGGTACAATTGCTTCTGAACAACGGTGCCGACATCAATTTATGTAAAAACGATGGAACCAGCCCTCTTTATATAGCTTGTCAAAATGGACATAATAGCACGGTACAACTGTTACTGAACAACGGTGCCGACACAAATTTATGTACAAACGATCGAACCAGTCCTCTTTATATAGCTTGTCAAAATGGACATGATAGAACGGTACAATTTCTTCTGAACAATGGTGCCGACATCAATTTATGTACAAGCGATGGAACCAGCCCTCTTTATATAGCTTGCCAAATTGGACATGATAGCACAGTACAACTGTTACTGAACAACGGTGCCGACATCAATTTATGTACAAACAATGGAACCAGTCCTCTTTATATAGCTTGTCAAAATGGACATGATAGCACGGTACAACTGTTACTGAACAACGGTGCCGACACAAATTTATGTACAAACGATGGAGCAAGTCCTCTTCATCCAGCTTGTCAAAATGGACATGATAGCACGGTACAACTGTTACTGAATAACGGTGCCGACATCAATTTATGTACAAACAATGGAACCAGCCCTCTTTATATAGCTTGTCAAAATGGACATGATAGCACGGTACAACTGTTACTGAACAACGGTGCCGACATCAATTTATGTACAAACGATGGAACCAGTCCTCTTTATATAGCTTGTCAAATTGGACATGATAGCACGGTACAACTGTTACTGAACAACGGTGCCGACACAAATTTATGTACAAACGATGGAGCAAGTCCTCTTCATCCAGCTTGTCAAAATGGACATGATAGCACGGTACAACTGTTACTGAATAACGGTGCCGACATCAATTTATGTACAAACAATGGAACCAGCCCTTTTTATATAGCTTGCCAAATTGGACATGATAGCACGGTACAACTGTTACTGAACAAATGTGCCGACACAAATAAATGTACAAACAAAGGAACCAGCCCTCTTTATATAGCTTGTCAAATTGGACATGATAGTACGGTACAACTGATACTGAACAACGGTGCCGACATCAATTTATGTACAAACGATGGAACCAGTCCTCTTTATATAGCTTGCCAAAATGGACATGATAGCACGGTACAACTGTTACTGAACAATGGTGCCGACATCAATTTATGTTCAAACGATCGAACCAGCCCTTTTTATATAGCTTGTCAAAATGGACATGATAGAACGGTACAATTTCTTCTGAACAATGGTGCCGACATCAATTTATGTACAAGCGATGGAACCAGCCCTCTTTATATAGCTTGCCAAATTGGACATGATAGCACAGTACAACTGTTACTGAACAACGGTGCCGACATCAATTTTTGTACAAACTATGGAACCAGTCCTCTTTATATAGCTTGTGAAAATGGACATGATAGCACGGTACAACTGTTACTGAACAACGGTGCCGACATCAATTTATGTGAAAACGATCGAGCCAGCCCTCTTTATATAGCTTGTCAAAATGGACATGATAGCACGGTACAACTGTTACTGAACAATGGTGCCAACATCAATTTATATACAAACGATGGAACCAGCCCTCTTTATATAGCTTGTCAAAATGGACATGATAGCACGGTACAACTGTTTCTGAACAATGGTGCCAACATCAATTTTTGTACAAACAATGGAACCAGTCCTCTTTATATAGCTTGTCAAATTGGACATAATAGCACGGTACAACTGTTACTGAACAACGGTGCCGACATCAATTTATGTACAAACGATGGAGCAAGTCCTCTTTATATAGCTTGTCAAAATGGACATGATAGCACGGTACAACTGTTACTGAACAACGGTGCCGACATCAATTTATGTACAAACGATGGAACCAGTCCTCTTTATATAGCTTGTCAAAATGGACATGATAGCACGGTACAACTGTTACTGAACAATGGTGCCGACATCAATTTAAGTACAAACGATGGAACCAGTCCTCTTTATATAGCTTGTCAAAATGGACATGATAGCACGGCACAACTGTTACTGAACAACGGTGCCGACACAAATTTATGTAGAAACAATGGAGCAAGTCCTCTTCATCCAGCTTGTTAAAATGGACATGATAGCACGGTACAACTGTTACTGAACAACGGTGCCGACATCAATTTATGTACAAACAATGGAACCAGCCCTTTTTATATAGCTTGCCAAAATGGACATGATAGAACGGTACAACTGTTACTGAACAACGGTGCCGACATTAATTTATGTACAAACGATAGAACCAGCCCTCCTTATATAGCTTGCAAAATTGGACATGATAGCACGGTACAACTGTTACTAAACAATGGTGCCGACCGCAAGTGAGTTAAGGCTAAATATGGATATTTTATGCAAATAAGCTAGTGAAAATTCATAATTGGTATATTTTATGTACAGAGAAGGTTCAAATTGATTTTCTGCTACATACTCAGAACCCATAGTTTATTAATGCAAATGCATATTATGACGTCATATTATGACGTCATTGTTCTCTTCCATTCAAGGCATTAAATCATTTCAACAAAATCACGTCGGTGCAAGGGCCTTTCCTATCTAATTTAGATTAAACAATGTATAATATTAAGGAGAATATTCTTAAAATTAATAAAATTTCTGCACAAAGCCTATGCACTTTCTCAATTGATAATTTTTTTTGGAAACTTACCCTGGACACTGAATTTTTACCCTGTGAAAACTTAAAACTGCACGGAAAGTAAGTAACCAATTGCAGTGCCGACATTTGTGCAGCAATATCTTAAATCCTTGGAATATCCTGTGTCTTTTGATACCTTGTTTCTGTAAAACAAAGTTAGGTATGCCCTTGCGCAGAAGCGATTTTGTTGATATTTCTTATAAACTTGTGTAGTACAGGTTGATGACGTCATAATATGACGTCATAATGTGTACTGGCTATCGCATGTCGTGGGTACCAAGAATGAATAAGTTAAAAAGTCTTCGCATTTTCTGTGCGGTAGGTAGAGCAATTATGGAATTTAATTAGATATTTTTTAAAGAAATTTCAATATGTATCCTTAACTCACATGCGACATCAATTTATGTACAAACGATCGAACCAGTCCTCTTTACATAGCTTGTCAAAATGGACATGATAGAACGGTACAATTGCTTCTGAACAACAGTGCCGACATCAATTATATACAAGCGATGGAACCAGCCCTCTTTATATAGCTTGCCAAATTGGACATGATAGCACAATACAACTGTTACTGAACAACGGTGCCGAAATCAATTTACGTGAAAACGATGGAACCAGCCCTCTTTATATAGCTTGTCAAAATGGACATGATAGCACGGCACAACTGTTACTGAACAACGATGAGGACATTTATTTATGCACCAACGATGGACTCAGTCCACTTTATATAGCTTGTCAAAATGGACATGACAGCATGGTACAAATGTTACTGAACAAAGGTGCCGACATAAATTTAGTTAACAATGGTTGAGTCAGTCCTCTTCATAAAGCTTGTGAAGATGGGCATGACAGCACGGTACAACTGTTACTGAACAACGGTGCTGACATCAATTTATGTAACACCGATGGAGTCAGTCCTCTTCATATAGCTTGTCAAAATGGACATGATAGCACGGTAAAACTATTAGTAATCAACGGGGCAAACATCAATCTCTGTGAAAACGATTGAGCCAGAACTCCAGAACAGCTTGTCACACTGGACATGATACTTGTAGCACATACCAACTGTTACTGGGGGAAAAACATACATGTAATTTTTACAGATTTTGCCTCGTGAATTGAGAAATGTACGAGGGTTGTTCAAAAAGTCCTTGGATTTCTGTCATACTTTTTTTTATTTTACCTCTTTTTTTACCAAATTTTGTAGAAATATTTTAACAATATACGAGGGTTGTCCCGTAAAATCGTGCACAAAGCATTTCTCTCGAAAAGAAATGGGCGCACTAAGCTGAAAATTTCAGTAAATGTTTATTTATCATATTGAAGTGCATGTTATTTTGTATTTTCCTACGGCGCACGGACAAAAAAAACAAGGTGTTATTAAAGAATACACAAGTTTGAATTAAAAATAAAAGTTTTAAATACATAAGATTTGGATAAAAACTATCCAATTCAATTCCACAATCAATTTTGAAGTCTTTGTAAAACTTTTAAGGCATTTGGCTAATTTTTGGCAGTTTCTCGAGCATTCGAAATGGGAAAGTGGTAAACAAAACACACGAAAAATGGCGACGTTTTATGAAGTAACGGCGCACTGGAGAGCAGTTCCGTTTTAATTCGGTGTTGTAATGACACTTTTAGAGACTTGAAATGACCATAGTAGAAAGAAAGATAAAAATATCAACACATCTTAAGTATACAAATGAAATAGACCTTTTCCTAGCGAAGTCTTTTTTGATCGAGTCCCTGGGGAGTACAAAACATACGGACAAACTTCTAATGTAATAACAAAACACGCTGTCACAGTAGACCGCCGATATGAGATTTTCTATTAGTTGAATGATTATGAGAATATTGTCCGTAACTTACTGATAAAACTACAGAAGATCGCATGAGGGTGCCAATTGGTTCTTGGACTGTTTATGGAGACTAAAGAATGTGTATCATTGAAATTTCTAAATTTAAGTCGGACTCATCCAACTTCATTTCCAGCAAAGATAAAACTTGATGCTGTTCTACACACTTTGACGTTATAATCCATGCGCCGTAAGGTGATACAATACATGGCATAAAATCACATAATTTCTTTATTTATGCATATATTAATCTGAAAATTGCTGTGTATATTACTAAAATATGTACTAAATAGTAGTGAACATTTTAGGACGCAGTGATGTTTATTTTTTACGCTAGACAACTTGTCCACGATTTTACGGGACAACCCTCGTATCTAAATGATTTGTATTAATTTTTATCAAAAATCACAATTGATTAAAAGAATTATCAAAATTTAAAAATGGCAAAAATAGGATTGCGGAGCAGGTCAAAATTTAGTAAGTTACAGACAATACACTAAATAAATTCTGTTATCATATTCTGTGTAAAATGGAGCAAACACGAAAAACAATTTAGAAAATAAAATAACGGATTTTTACATCGATTCGTATTCAAAATTGATGTAATGCTTTGTTGGAAAGGAATCAACTTTAGAAGATAGGAAGTCCTCATTGAAACAACAAAAACGCAGACTTTTTAAAAAGTCACGAAGCAGCAGATAAAGATGCAATTTTGTGTTTTACTCAGGATATATCCTGAATAAACTCTGAAAATGAGGGCAGATTTAAAAAATATGTCATAAGCATGTTCTCCATGTGTGTACAAATAGTAAAATCAGTATATGAGTGACGAAGACTCTGTATCGGATGAACACAATCTGTGACGAAACGGTTTACCTGAAAAAATCTGAACCAAAACTTTAAAAAAAATTCTAACGCCAACAAAAGGCATAGGTGCCTCTAAATTACTGACCTTGTAAACGCAGACTGAGTAAATAAAAGGAATTAAAACCATAACAAAAGGAATTACACAATGTGCGCAATTCTTTAAAAAAATATTACATGATTGTTTTAGAAAAAAGATTTAATATTTCTTTTGCCTTTAAAATTGCCTTTATATATTTTCTGTAGGAATAAACATGTTGCACATCAATAAAAAGAAATATTTTTTATATATATATATATATATATATATTTTTATATTATATATATATATATATATATATATATATATATATATATATATATATATATATATATATATATATTACATAGTACATATTGTAAATTCTTAGTAAGTAATAAAACGGAAATTGATATCGTCCAAGATTTTCGAACAACCCTCGTAATTATTTACATGTATATTGAATATCTTACTAATAACTTGAAAACATAGCATTTGCATATAGTTTATTCACTCAAATATTGTTCAATGATGCATGTTTTTATGCTTTGTATAAAAAAATAAATATCGAAATTATTTCTATAAGAGCATATTCAATGATTAGGAAATTGCCATGGACGATTTTATCAAAGAATACAAGACGCTTAGAATGAAGATTGATATTTTTAATCACTGTAATAAAATAAAGCAATATTCTCTTTTTTCTACTAGAAAATATATTTTGCATCACTATTTCTTTTTTTTTTTTTACAAGATCTTAATATAAATTTAGATTGTTGCACGGTTTAACTTTAGAGAATTTAGTTTTATTTAACCATAGCTGAACAAAATTCCATTGTTATCACTTTAGATATTGCATTTTTTATGGCTATTACTTTAGTGCTAGCGCTATATTAATCCTTTTAGTAAAATAAAAAGAGAATATTATATACTAAAATCCATATCATATGTTATATCAGCCTGAGATTACCCATATTATCCCGAGGGCCAAAGGCCCGAAGGTTGATATGGGGCCCGAGTATTATGAAGTATTAGACAGTAAATATTTATCAAATATTTAAAATACATTGTGTACGTTTACAAAGAATCATTGAAGAATATTTCGTGCTTGTAAATGATATTTTTTTTTAGATTTAAAAGAGTCCATTTAATTAACTAAATATAGTAAATGCAGTGTAAAGACCACAAATGTTGTTAAAGAATGAATAATTTTGCATGAAAATTTCAATACAATCAAGTAAATTAACTTCAAAACTTTAAACAAGCCTTACTTCCGGTTTACATGGAGTTTCTGTCCGTGGTTCCAATACTTTATATGGCTTTTCTGATCGGTCCTTGATTTGGGGTATTGTGACATCACAAGTATCACACCGTGCAGAATAAGTGTATTTACAACGAAATATATGATAAGTAGCGTTTCTTCATAGCCACAATCGAGTAAAATCTGCTGTATGCTTGTGAGAGCTGGACTCTGACAGTAGCCCAGGAGAAGTCGCTAGACGGAACCTACACACGCATGCTACGTAAGGTTCTAGACATTCACTGGTCAAGCCAGATTCCCAACGAGTTCCTATATATTAACCTCCCAAGGTCAGTGATAAAATAGCCTCCAGGAGATTGCAGCTAGCTGGGCATTGCCTCCGTCATTCAGAGCTCAGCGCCCAGTCATTGGTACTGTGGGAGCCAAATCATGAACGCCGTGGGAGAGGCAGACCCAAGAACACGTTTTTGGACACACTAAAGCGTGACACGAAGGGATGCAAATGAGCTAGCTTCCCTAATGGCTGATAGGAAGAACTGGCGTGGTCATGTCGTTGGTCGTCTAAGGACGACCGAGTGAGTAAGTGAGTGATATGATAAATGGAGATAACATACAGTTATCAATTTCAAAAGTCCATAAATCAATACAAAATCAGAGCAAAGCAAATGCGGCATACCAAAAAATCAGAGGTAAAATCTGGTGTCATGGAGGAGTGAGCATCACAGGGCGTGCCAAAAGGTTACACATGCCGCGTGCTAGTTGTCATAATCAATTGAATATGGAGCACAATTTTATTCTGTGTAATAATATTACCTGAAATATACTATAGAAAGGATTTCTAACTCTGTTTAAACTATATTTGAATACTGTAGAAGTACTTTATTCCGCGTGGTATTAATTTACGCTATGTACGCGGTCACCTGCGGAAATTTGTCCAAGCGTATTTAATATCAATGTAAGACATATAGTGACATTCTATGCTATCCGCATAAGTTTCTACCCGCATATTGAACAGAAATTGAGATTTCGTGGAATTATGACCCCGTGGAAAAAAGTACGTCTACAGTGAACAGGAAATGTAGCGATTTTAACATTCGTTGATGTTAATACATATTCGAGGCTATTTAGGGAAAGACCCTAGATGATGCGATTGTATTGATTTTGTGACCTAGAACCATTCCGGGAAGAGACAAATCTAATTTATCCTTGCTTCAATTTAATGTAAGACAACAGAACATTTCTTTGTACGGATGTTTACCTAATGTACATGTAACCATGTATGCGTAGCTCTCTTTCTATTGATTGTTATATAGTTTGGATTCACTTTATTTACAGCTAAGTGGAGTAGACGCAAAGAGATTCACAATAGGGTGTTAAGTCTATCCATTCTTTAGTAATAATCTAAAATGATCACTATAGTGCCAAAGTTATAACTGTAAAGATTTAGCCGATTCATAGATACATGTATCACTATGATGAATCAAAGTTTGTTGCATTGATTTACAGAATACCTCGCTTTTATCTAACTAGCTCGGGAGTTTTGAAAAATGAATAAAAAAAAAACATCGTGTAAGAATGTCTAAACAATTATTTTATCCACGTTTTTCCGAAATTCAATTTGATAATGAAACCTAAATCTATTGCTTTAAACCTACAAAACAAATTTACCATAAGATGCACTCGACAAAAACATAAAGGTTTAAGAAGAGCAAAGAATTGCGAAAGCAGAGACAATTTTATATGTCATTTTCTTTAATTTTAGTGGTCCTGGTGTTCATATTCTTATTTGGGGGGGGGTGGCAGTTAAAATTCTGGGAGAGACTAGAAAGCAAATGTCTTGCCACAAAATCGAAAGGTTTATGACAGAAAGGAAGCAGAATCTGGAATCCACGACAGTATATGTCTGCATGACAGTGTCCAAGCCACACGCCCTAAAGAAGTAAAGGAGTTTTTTTGAAATAGGGTGAGTTAACCATTCATCGGACACATACCTTACTTCGGACAACTTAATTCAGGCAATAAACTCTC